AGGATCGTGCTCTAGCATTATGCTTTCGAACGCGTCAACCTTGTTTGCAATACTTCTGGCGTTTATGTTTAATATTTTAAAACATGCTGAATCATTTTGTTTTAGTCACTCGTTATTTGCTTCCGGTGGAACGCGACACTTGTATCTCTCATTGCTGACTTCATTCCAGGCGTACAGAACATTGTTAAGCCACAGCTTATCAAAGACTAGATTGACTTTGGCACCGTTTTTCCTCTCCTCTGCGGTTGAATTCCACAGGTTCTTTCGAACCTCAACAACCCTCTTGGAATAGTCTTCATTGATGCTAATTTGGGTACCTTTAAGTTTGACACAGTTTTTCATGATAGCCATTTTCTCTTTAAAATCCCCAACTGTAAGTATTACAGGGCGATCTCTACCAGTCATCTTTTTTCCAAGTCGATGTATACGTTGGATAGAGTTCAGTTTTTGACCTAGTATAGCGTCAAACACCTCATTGTTGATTTTCCTCATTAGTACATCCTCGTTTTCAGAAGACTCTTCCTTAAAGGGAAGATGGGGAGGTTCTGTATTTAAAAACAAACACTTCCATCATCTTCATTTGGTCTCTACGATTACGAATATCAAAATCATTTTTCAATTCGATGCGCGCAGTAGACATAAAAGCGCTTTTAAAAGGAGCGCCAAGCCCCTCCCTCTTTGCGCGGTCGGTGCGAGGGTAAAAATTGGGAGAGAGTTCGTGACGTCAGTCGACGTCACGGACGTACCTAGCAATCGCCGCTCGCCCCGCTCGCGCCTGGCTCGCTGCTGGCTTTCCGCCATCTCCTCCGAGTGCTCGCGAACGTCGTACGTCGTACTCGAAACTGGTTGCGTTTCACTTTTTTCCGCGTGGTGTCCGCTGTGGTTTATTATCGTCGGCGTGACAAGTGCACGGCGTTGCCTATCGAACAGTTCTTCTTTTATGGTGGCGCTTGCACGATGCCCACGTTGTGCGCGGCCGTGGGCTGCTCGAACATCTCTCGGAGGGGCAGCCCACTTCACTTCCACAGGTTTCCTTCAGACCCGAGGATCTCAAAGCAGTGGGTCTCCGCGATAAAAAGAGACAAGTATGTGCCCAGCAAGCGGAGTGTGCTCTGTTCGGCGCATTTCTCCGATGACATGTATGACGACAAGGTGCGGATGATGAAGAAGCTTGGTCTAGCTGTAACTCCGCGTCTAATTCAAGGCGCCGTTCCCACCATCTTTTCGCATAAGCGACAACCCCCTCAGCGCACACGGGGAGCATTCACGAAAAGAAGACGGATTGAGGTAAGCACAATAAGTTGGACCTTTTCCAAGTTGTGACTTTTGCGCGCTGCGATTACGTCGAACGTAGTGTCTAGAGTATCTTGCAGCGTTCAGGTGCCGTCCAAAAGTCTCGTATAAAACGAGTTCTCAAAACTATTATCTCGAAGCGGAGTGTAGCTTAGTGGTAAGATCTCTGTCTCATAAGCGAGCGATCCCGGTTTCGATCCCCAGTGCGGGCTTACTTTTTTGCTTTTGTTTTCTCGAACATTTTATTTTGCCGACGCATTTGGCGATATTTACATTAATTTTTTTTACGATTAACACAGGAAAAAAAAAAAAACGATTGTTGTCGCCGTAACTTCACTGAACGAAATGGTATGGGACTTCGTTTCCGGACGTGCATGGGGTACAGCGGGGCGTGCTTTGCCGGCTGGACGCCGCGAAGTGTACGAAGTGTAGTGTACGGCGTGTACGACGGGGCCTAATGGGTCAATAGTTTTGTAATTAGCAGCCGCATACTGTCGCCGCGAAGCGGCGTGAACGCAGGCAGGGGGCACGATTGTAGGCGCGATTGGAGTGCCGTTGGACGGCACTGTAGACACGAATAAAAATTAAAGTTCCGTCCGACGTAACTTTAATCCAAGGTTTCGAGTTGCGTCCGACGGAACTCGAAATATAAATTAAAGTTACATCCGACGTATCTTTAATGTTTTTTTCGAGTTCCGTCGGAAATAACGCTAGACACTGCGAACAACGTATAGAATTATGCGTTCTTACGTCGGACGTAACTTTAATTTTTATTTCAGATTCCGTCGGACGCAAAGCTAGACACTGCGTATACCGTTATGTTTTTCGTGTGCTTCGTGCGTTTACCAAACGTGCGACTTTGTGCCTGTTATTTTGGCATTCTGAATTCTTGCTTTTATTTCGGGTAGTTGCATAAAGACAGTCCACAGCGCTCCTTCAAGCGCGTTTGCAATAGCTCCAAACTAACAATTGAGGGGTTGACCATCGCACCCGGAGTTGCCGTCTGTCACCCCTGTAGGCAAAGTCGCGTCACTGGCAGACTCCATCAGGGTGAGCTGCGTGTTCTTACTGTGCTCGTCTTCATTTACAGCAAGCACTGTAACATGTGCTCTCCTAAATTTTTGTGGAGGGCACCACGTTCCTGGCCTATGCTAGTGTAAGAAGTGCTGTGTTAAATTTTCCCCTTTGGCCAGATTAGGTATCTATAGAACCAGCCTTACCCTCTTGAGTTCTGCAATTGCCTTTTCTATTTTGGTATTCTATGTCATGCGTAGTCTGTCCGTACACCCGAATAATTCTTGACAAAGTGTAAAAGTGTATACCTGATCAAATTTATACTTTCTGCAGGTTATCTCAGAGCTACTCGGTTCAACATCTTCAACAAGCTCCTCCTTTGTTGCTGTTGACAACCTGGCAGAACCAGCATTGGAGGCACCAAGCTGCTCGGAGCCACTGTCCGAGGACGAGGAAGCATATGAGTGCCTGGACCTTAGTATTCCCCGTGTCCATCATGTTGACACGGAACATCATCTAAAGGCGCCCACATGTGACAAAAGTGTACAAGTGGTAGTGGGTCCCACAATGAAGTCGCAGCATGTTCAGACATGTTCTCCTTCAAAATCCATTGGTATGTGAATGCTGCAGTGAAGGTGTATTGGTGTTACTCATTTAGGAACAAAATCAGCGCTAGTTTTATTTTAACATATGTCTGAGTGTGAGCCAGAGCACGCACCAGTCTCTGGCTTGCCCTACTCTGTCTCAGTCTATCAGAATGTGTGAAGTAATATATGAAAGGAACAAAAATGTTTACTGGTATTTATTAGCGTAAGCTAATGAATACCAGTAAAATTCTAGCTTTGAAGCAAGCTAGAATTTTAGTACTCATTTCCACCACGAGAACCATAGTAAACAACTTTTAACACCTTATGTAGCATGAATAATTTACTTTTATGTGTATCTTTCTCTAAGAAACCAAACCTTATAAGAACTATATAGCTCATGCACTATTCAAACAATGCACAAAATGTTTTTTTTTCTTGAGGTGGCAATGATTATAACAGTGTACATGATGTGACAGTCTCGCTTCATAAGTTCACCTGCTGCAGTGTCAATGAAATTAGCGAGTTTGAGTATATACCATACGCTATGGATTTTGGGCACATAACTAATTTCTGCTTTAAAGTTACAGTGTGAGGTTTGCTAGCAACGCAACAATAACAAATATGCAAAACTAAAACTCTACTCTTCACTGCTACAATGTCCATATTTTTAGAAATGCAGTAATCATATGTTACGCTTTTCTCATCATTAAATTATTTCTCTGCAGGAGTGCAGGCTTCCCGTCTGTACACTCATGCGAAAACACAAACAGAAGTCAACTGTGCATGCAATTGCAAATCAAATAACATCAAGCGAGGGGACGGCAGTGACGAGATCAGCCAACTAGAGCCTGGCACCGACTTGGAAGATGAGGAAAGGGATCTCAATCTTCTTTCGGAAGATCAAGATCAGGATTACGATCCTTCGGAAGACCATGAGGAAAGGTACGCTCAGCTTGTGCGAACATAAGTGACATAGAAATGGCCTGATGTAATATGGTGAGACGTGTTGACTAAAATATGAGCATGGCAGTTCTGTGCAGCTCACACACGCAACTCTGACCTTTACATAATCATTATTTTCAATGAATAAGGATTGTGGAACATGACTTTGGCCATGGTTCTCCAGCGAGGAATTAGACCACCCACCGGGTTCTCTGCAGTTTTTTTTTTTCTGACTGTACACATCACTTTACAGCGAGGCATAACCAGAGCCAGATCCGAGGGGGGGGGGGGGGGGGGGGGGGGGGGGGCGGGGCGGGGGCCTCCCTCAAACAAAGTCGACCCCCCCCACCCCTCCCCCCTTGTAAGGGGGAAATTTGCCATAACTGGATCCCCTTGGTGATATTAATGAATGGGAGGACAGTATCCTTACAAATTTTCCAACCCACCCCAAAACTGAGTTCTGGATCCACCCCTGTGCATAACATTAGTGAATGAACCTTATCAAGTACCAATAGATCACACTGCCACCCCACCTGCAAACTCATAATAAAGGGTTAAATAATCTAAAATTTTCTTCTTTTTACAGCTCCAGTGATACAGACACAACATGGCATGGCAACCGTGTATTCTTGGTGGCGGAGGCCAAATTTCGGCAACTATTCAAGATCTGTCCGGAGTGCTATGCCAGCTGCAATGTGACGATCGAACCTGTGGGCACAGTCGTGGAGGTCTTTTCTGAGTGCCCTGCAGGCCACCACTCCTACTGGGTCAACCAAGAGATCGTGAATCAGCAACCACTTCTCAACTTGCTGCTCTGCGCGGGTATCCTGTTCGCAGGGCAGAACCCCACTCCATCCTTGAGGATGTTGTCGAGCATTGGTGTGCAAGTCGTCAGCTGCTCTACATTTTTCACCCTACAGCGGACTCACCTCTGGCCGGCTATTGGTAGAGTGAGTGTTGACATGCTTCTGCTCAATCACATAGCCAATGATACTAACACCCTACTCACTCACTGCTTGTCTAATGCTTGAAATATCAATATAAGCCGAAAGTTACGAAGTAGACATACTATCTTATTTGCAGGTGTGGAACCAAGAACAGACTTCTCTGCTGGAAGAGGCGAGGGCCAATCCCCTAAGGCTGGCCGGGGGATGGTCGGGCCGACTCGCCAGGGTTCAGCGCCAAGTTCGGCACATACTCTGTGCTGGATCTCGAGACCACAAAGATTGTTCATTTCGAACTTGTGCAGGTATGAATGTAGCACTCTGAGCACCAGTTTAGTTTTTTACATGCATTTAGAAAAACCTTTAGGAAGAGTGTCTACTGTTGACTGTACTAGCGAATTTGAAAGTCTGAACCTTTCATTTCAAATATTGATAGGCTACTTTATCTCTGTAGTGCCTAATGTAATGTGTTTTCACTTGACAGTCTAATGAGGTGGGCGGCAGTGGTCGCATGGAGCTGGAGGGGCTAAAGAGAAGCCTCAGCTTTTTGGAGGCGAAAGGCTTGACCGTGGAGCTCCTCATCACCGACCGTCATGTACAAGGCAAAGCCTTCATGAAGAAGGAAAAGCCCGAGATTCGCCACGAGTTCGACGTGTGGCACGTTTCGAAAGGTACCGTTTGCCTGTTTTGGAATCTGTTTCTGAATCTCCAGAGCTGCCTTCCTTTTGTAAAAGAAATCAGTAGCTAATGGGACACAAAATATTGCAATTAAAACAACTCTTTAATACAGTGCGTGTGCTGGCTGAAAGTTTCGAACCACAGATGGCTGAAACATACAACAAGTAGCAAGCTGTAGAAAAAACCTCTGGAACTATGTGCAGCCAGCATGCCCGAGTTCGCTAAGCCCAAATATAAAGCTTGAACAAAAGTCACAAGATAGTGTCAAAAAAGCAGATTTGTTATATTTATCTCATTATCGTAGGTCGATATTTATTCCATACTCTGAAGTCTATCCACTGTGGCCCACTTCCTCTTTAAAGTCTCATCATGCTGCAGTCTGGTGTGCTTGCCTACAAAGTTATTCGAAAATGAATCGTGATGAAGCGTCCAAAGATTAACGGGCTGTACAAATAGTTATTCTTGTTGTTAAACAAGAATTACAACTTCTGTAATTCCTCATTTAGCTGAATAAAGTGCTGCTGTTCTCAGAAATGCATATTTTTATTCTCAGGCATCAAGAAAGAGCTTGTTGCGGCCATGAGGAGCCCCACCTGTGCCGAGCTTGCGCTCTGGAGCAGACCAGTGCAGAACCACCTATGCTGGGCGGCTGCTTCCAGCCAGGGAAATCCGGACCTGATTGTCCCTAAGTGGCTGTCCGTCCTAAACCACGTTCGGGACATCCACAACCACACGGACGCCCGATTTTCCTCCTGTGCCCACGGCGAGCTTGAGCCCAGAGATTGGCTGTTTGATGGTATGTATCAAATCTTGACTACTACTCATCCTTTCCGGTCGCTTTACCATCCCTCCCTAGCCGTCTTTTCTCTCACAATTGCGCTCATTCCAGACTCTGTGGCCTTCGAAAAGCTTCAAGCCATCGTAACCAAGCGATACCTGCTGGCTGACTTGCCGAAACTCTCCACGCACTACCAGACATATACCGTGGAGGCGTTTCATGGGCTCTTGAACCACTTCTGTCCCAAGTTATGCCAATACTCGTACAAGGGGATGACGGCAAGGTGAGTTGTAACACGGCAAGATCTTTTCATGTGGCAGCCTCAAATGGGTGTCATTTTCATCTAATAATTGTTTCATATTTTTTAATAAGGCAGTTGTGAGGAATACAAATAAAAACATTTATACACTGCTATTTCTGTACATGTCGTGGTCATCCTAGCACGATGTTGGTGCGAGATCATCTTGACACTTATCTCTGGAAAATCATTGTTTCTCTTCAGAACCCAGCTGGCAGTCCTCCATTTTAACGAAAATGGCAACCGACCTCAAGCGTTGACAGAGGAGGGTGACAAGTGCTATGACGTGAAGCACCCCAAGGCTAATGGAGGGGAACCAGTGGCAGTCAAAAGAAAAGAGGGACGAACATATGGTATGCATCAAACAGCTTTTTTTGTTTATTTAGCTTGATTGCACAGTTTTAATTCAAGATTACAAACTGAAAGCAAAAGGGGCTACTGGTACTGAAGTCTGGTGGTACAGCAACATTTAAAATAGTTATACCATTCATTGAAGTCAAGGTGATTATGTAAATCTGAAAAGTTACGTGCAGACGTTTTGACACTTTGCACATGAACTAAATTTTATTATGTTGAACTATTTTGTTACAGACTACGTCAGGAGGCTCCTTGATGTGGTCAGGGATGGGGCCCAGATGAAAACTCGAGGCGTCGTTCTGATCACGCCTTCCGAGGATCCACCACCACTCTGCAGCTCTGCGAGGAAAGTTCCGAAGGCGGTGCTGATAGAAAGGCATAAAACAAGGTTCAACAAATAAGGTTTGTTTTATATGAGGCTACATATCACATTTGGGAGCTTTTATTGCTTTGTCCCAGTAAGCTTACTGTTGGTATTCCCACTTTTCCTGTTCCCAATGCAGATGTATTCTGGAGTACCCTCAGTTCACTGGGCACCCGACTCTAGGATTCTCAACCTGCAAGCCCTGCAACGTCGCATCATCTCGCCCAGTTGTTGCACGAGTGATGTATTTATTTATGGTACACCAGCTTTTCTTTCTGATTGGGACCAGTGTGGCCTTTTTTTTTCTTGTAACTTTGCTTCAATCCTGTTTGTAAATTAGGAAAGGTTCACATTTATTATGCACATCTTCTGCCTTTCCTAATTGGGAATATTTTTTTCTATAAACCTTAATGAATTGAAAACGTGTTCCTGCCTTGGATTGGGGGGGGGGGTTTAGTACACATGCCGAAACCCGGTGTAAGCTTGGTCCTTTGATGGGAACTTCGTTCGGATCTTGTTGACGACACAGCTTGGAAGGATCCGTCTATTCCCCTTGCCGAGGCGCTTCCATGTTAGGAGTGCAAACTGCCTGTATGCAATGTTTCGCATCTGCCTACAAAGACAAAAGTGAGATATTGAGTGGATTCTTTTTGTTGTTATACACTGTGGCATAATTTCTTTCTTTTGCATTGTGATCTGACAGGGTCTGTACCCTGCACCAACTCCCTAAGTTGATGCAGAGAGCACCATTCACTGTACAAATTGTTCTAAATAATTGCTTTTTGTTGAAAAAAAAAAAAACGAAACAGTGATTGCTTCTTTGAAATAAATATGTCATGCTCTGCACATTGGTATACTGGCCTGTCTTTCGGATAACAGGGTCTGTACCCGTCGTGCCTCCTGCTTGCCAAGGCGATGTCGAGCAGAGTCTTGTTGAGGCAGGCTTGTTTAAATATTGCCTTCTTCGTCACACATTTGTTATTTTTCAATTTTTTTACGATTTCTACCACCTCCTGGCAGCACATGCTCTCCTCTTCTGTGGTCATGGTTTTGCACTCTTCACAGGAACACCTATTGAAAATGAGAGATTAAGCCTGTTGAGAATAAGCGATATGGAACTATTTGCGAATTGTTCTTTTTATTTGTTTTCATATCAACTAACCCTTTGCAAACGAAATGTACGTGCATTCAAAAGAGGTAGGAACTTGTATGACTTGCTAGAAACCTGAATGAAATTTTATAGCGTGCAATGAGTGAAAAAAGAAAAAGTACACGTTTTGAGAGGATACCATCGGATGTGTGGTCTAACGAAGCGAGCGAACGTCAAACAGCACAGCTCTGGAAGAACACAGGGATTTTAATACGCTCGACACGAATAGACGATTCGGAAACATTTGTTCATATCAATAAATCTGTCACGATAACGACGTGCAAGCGCACCAAAATGTGTCGTGTACGGGAATGGTAAATAGATAAAAAAAAAGGAACTGGCGATGAGCACGAAAGCGCGTGCCGTTATTGATTGAGACGAAGTGTACAGTACACCAGCGCATTCGAGGAATAAACTCGCGAGCTGCACGAAGAGTAACAACATCGTGCAAGCGCACCAAAATGTGTGTCGTGTACGGGAAAGGTAAGTAAATAAAAAAGGAACGGGCGATGAGCACGAAAGCGCGTGCCGTTATTGTTTGAGACGAAGTGTACAGTACACCAGCGCATTCAAGGAATAAACAAACTCGCGAGCTGCACGAAGGTACTTGCACGCCGTATTGACGCTGTGAAAGCATCGGTCGTGAATTGAGGCTGGTTTCTTTGCATATGGTTCATTCGTCACGAACGCTTAGATTAGCGTAATGCTTATGGAATATTGTGGCCGACGATAATCAGTAAGTCGTGAAGCGGCCATAGCCCAATTTACCAGCAATCGGAAAATTGACCCGCCAACATATTGTTTATTAACAACGCATCTAGAAAACTTCGGATGAGCGTACTAGAGGAGTGTTCAGCGAAAACTCGCAATCTCCATTTTCGTCCGTGGGGATTCTAGGTAAAGAAACGCAGAAAGCGTGGAAACAGGAGAGTACGTACCAGTCTGTGTTGCCGATACGGGCAGAGGACGCGATGTCGCTGAGCTGGGACTGAGAATCTTTCGGCTCCCCTTGTTCGCCAGCGTCTCTATGGTTCCTAGAACTCTTTGCTATCGGTTCAAAGGCATAAGGGACGACCTCGATATTTCTTGCCATCGTATGAGCACCAAGACCCGACATTTTCACACTCGCTGGCTGGCCGGCTGAGCAGAAGAGGTCCGTCCGTGACGTCACGGCAGTTTCAGCCAATGGCAGGGCGCGGGGCGTCCGGCGCTTGTTTTTCGGATTTTTCTTGCCTCTGTGAATATTTTCGGGCCAAATAGATGTTTTTTTCGAGTTCACGAGGCAAAACCACGTTGGAAGTCGCCTCTAACTCATATTTCTCAAGAACCTCCCCATCTTCCCTTTAATTCCCCTTACGATAACGTTATTTCGTCGTGAACGATTTTCTAAGTCATCAATTTGTTTTACAAGAGTATTTATTTCGACATCGTAGCCACTAACAGAGTTTTCAAGTTTAGCAAGCCTGTTCTCAGTTTCACCTACGCTCTCAAGTTTTTTTTCTATCGCAAGTAGCCTGTTTTGCATTTGTAGCATACTTTCTTCCGAAGAAGTCTGTTTTACTTGTACCTCAGTAATTTTAGCAAGGATCTCCTTTTGTGTCCGAATCATATCATTAAACATTTCTTGCGTAATAGGCCCAGGGTTTTCCTCCACATCTCCAGCTAGTATGAGCAACAGGCCTGCTACAGAGAAACAATCGCGTACACAAGCTGCAATTGTGTGTGGACACGGCAACACAATCAAACATAGGTAATCGCTGTGAAAAACATGTTTTCTATCACCAACCTGCATGAGTAGTGGTACATTAGGCGACATCATCACGGCTGGGTTGCCGTGTCCACTGACGCCCGCAGCCGCTTGCGTTTCCTTTATAGGCAGTGGTGGCGCTGCTTCTTGAAGTTCTTCTGACGTCATCGTGCCCGTGAAGGGTGCGCTGTAGATGTTGGCCACGTGTAGCAACTGCAGATGAGCGATGTCAGCGCGATATCCGATAGGCGATGAAGACGACGTTTGGCCCGAAGCGATGAGTAGGCACCAAGTGCAAACCTGCATGAGTAGTGGTACATTAGGCGACATCATCACGGCTGGGTTGCCGTGTCCACTCTTTAATGGTATCAGCTCGTACCCTCAGCAGTGCTCTCACTCATTATTGAAGTTCCCAGATAAGTTGTTCCTACAAGTAGCGACATTTTTTTGAAGCGTCGACTGCGTGATGGTGCATATTCTAGGAAGCGTATGACGGCGCACAGCAGAAGAGGGAACCGAAGGACGCCATTTTGTTTCTACCGAACGTAACACGTCATTTGTTTAGTTGTCGCTACTTGTTAAAAGAAGCATCCAGGGGCTTTATTATTAATATTAAACGAAGTATATTGAGCCTTTTCTCCTAAAGATATATATCCTGCGCGTATGCTAGAATGGAGAACGCACGGAGGCCCAATCACTGAGCGTTTACTTTCGCGCAGAGCGTGGGAAGGGCCAATCACTACACTCTTCGGAAGACGCGAACAAATGATGACGTCGGAAAACGGAAGTGTTAAATGTGAAGCTAGACGAAGACGCTTTCGGAAGTCCGGCCTCGGCCACTCAAGCACTTTAAATCTTCAGAGGGGCTTGAAAGCATATTGTGGTCTTTTTCAATATTTTAAAACCATTTTAAACTGTTTTTTTTTTTTTTTTTTTTTTTTTTTTTACGGGAGTGTTTGGAGACGAGGAATGTAAATTCAGATGCTTACTGTCTTCTCTGAAAGCTGCAAAATGCTTCGGGAAGTCAAAAATTGTTGTGGACTACGAAGCCAAGGCCCTCTCGATGATTGTCGGACGGCTTAATCGTTTTCGAAGCGGAGACTCTTACATGAAATTCACAACTAGTGGATGTAAATTTCTGCCTTTATTCATGTTCAATTGGCGCAAGCCAAGAACAAAAACGACATCCCACGATGAAAATGTTGCGGGTATTAAAGCGGCGGTTGAGAAAGATGGTCAAGTTGCGCTGGAAAAAAAATGAAGGAACTAATTGGTATAGAGGCAATTGTCAATTTGAATAACGTTAACATAAAAACAGCAAAAAAAATCGGCCAAACTGGTACCTCACCGGCTGACATCAAAACACAAGGCATCTCATTTGATATTTTGCCGCCAGTGGCTGCAGAGATTCAAGCGAGGCAAGCCTTTCGCTTGGAAGAAAATTATGACTGGTGGTTAGACCTGGTTATAGAACAGTGACCCTGAAACCAAGTGTCAATCCATGCATGGTGTAGTCAATAAAAGGAGCACCAGATCAGCCGGCAGAACAATATTTGCCACTTTCTTCCCATTCAAGGAAGTTCTGACCTCCGTCACCCTTAAAGAGAGGAAGTGTGCGAGTCAAAAGTTTTTGAAAAATTACTCGGACGTCGCTCCCCCAAAAAAAAACTGCGTCGTCACACGTCTGGTAGAACGTTCAATTCCATCGCTGCATGGTTCTGGACTTGATTTGTACACTGCACCCACCTATTCCCCTGACTTGGCGGAACTTTGTGACTTTTTGGTTATTAGCACAAACTGAAGAAGCCCCTCCGTGGAAAAACGTTTGAGACAAAAGAACTCATTTCAGCAGCAGGGGAGCAACTCTCTTTCCTAAACCGGATGGTTTCTAGCGTTCCTTCGACCGTTGAAGTCATCGTAGAAAAAAAAAAAAGAAAAAAAAAAAAAAAAAAAGCCTCCAGATGGCTGGTGATTATGTTCGAAAGTGCCCCTGTGAGCCAGATATGGCGAGTAAAACGATTCCTGAGATTTTCAAAACAACTGTAATATGTTAAGGATTTTTTTTTTTTTTTTTTTTTTTTGTAGCTAGGTTTGTGGGACAACCCCTTGTACTGGTTGTTATATAAAAAAAAAAAGTTTTGCACACCATTCATGTTTTTCGGGAAGGATAATTCTTACACGATTGGGTCTTCGAAAGAAGAAAGAATGTTGCTAGTGTTTGAAACCGTCTACGTCTTAATAAAATAACATGCACCTAACCTAAGATGGACCTACATATATCTTGTTTGAACGCATGAAGGGGGAAATTAGTGACGTTCGGCTAAAGGCTTACGCAATTCTTTTTTTGTTTTTGTTTTGTTTTTTACTACGGTTCTTAATGTGAATTCGCGAGTATAAGTATGCGGTTTCATGTGCCTTGATGCTCAGTGTCAGGTCAAATATTGCATGACTTTCATTGATTCAACTTTGTTGTTCCCTGTATTTTTAGGTCTTACTCCATGTATGTTTAGTGCACCACACTGTGA